TTTTTAGAAATTTAATTATTTTCACAAATAATAACACTCATTGCAGAATTTCAATTATTTATAATACAATTTTAATCGAATTCCACGAAAAAATTCTTAAAATTTTTATTAAAATTCATCAAAAGAATTAAGTTATTTAAAAATTTATAGATAAAATTCTTTATGAGAATTCAATTTTAAGAAACATGCAATTATTCAAAAAATTGTTATTTTTGTATTTAAATAATTGAATTCTAGTACATAGAATTATCTCAAACATTGATTTAAAAATGGATATCAGTTAAAATTTTAAATTATAATTGTTGGTTTTTTTCTTAAATTATTTTAAGTTTATATTTTCTAATGTATATATATATTTAATTGAAGAATTTATGAATAATTGAAATTTTGTAAAATTGAATTGTAAACAATTAAATTTGAAAATTCTTAAAGAACTTTTTAAAAAATTATTAAAAATAATAGATTTATAGAAGATGTTTAGTTAAAAACACGAAAAAAATTCAATTTTGTAAAAGTTACAAATTATTTCAAAAATTCAATTATTTTCAAGAGTTGTCTTCGCAAAAAATAAATTTATGTATTGTTCAAAAGTAATAAAATTCTTCTTACGGATTCAATTTATTATTTTCACAAATAATAAAACATATTGCAGAATTTCAATTATTTTTAATACAATTTTAATCGAATTTCTCGAAAAATGTAAGTATTCTTAAAAACTTTATTGAAATTCGTTGATAGAATTCAATTATGTGAAAATTTGTTGATAACGATTCTTTATGGGAATTTAATTTTTTAAAACATTCAATTATTCAATAAAGTATTTATTTTTGTATTTAAATAATTGAATTCTAGTAGAATTTTCTAATAAAAATTGATTTAAAAATAAATTTTAGTTAAAATTTTAAATACTAATTGAATATTAAATGCAATATAGGGTGAATGTGGGTATTACCGTGGGTACGTGAGTTACCGTGGTTTCGCTAATTTTGTCAAATTGCTTTTTCATAGAGGAAGGATTGTATTAGCAAAATTTTCGATTGTGATTTTTTGACATATGTATTTATAAACTTTTTTTCATTATACCTAATCTTTTAGTACTTTATGCACGAATGGGCAATGCCCGTATAAATGTTATAAATAAATAAAAAAAAATTTTGATATAATTTTATCTCAGAAGTCCAAAAAGCAGATTTTAAAAAAATGTCCCGATGTGTGAGTATGTGTGTGTGTACTAAGATTACATTTGCCTCAATATCTCAGAACGAGAAAGAGCTAAAGGCCTCAATTTTTTTTATATTGTAGGTCTCCCGGGGGGACATAAAATGAGAGTATTTTCAGACCGATTCATAAAATTTAACTATATTTTTTTTTTCATTTTGTAAAAAAAAGTTTTTTGGCTATAACTTAAAAAAAATGTTAGGGCACCTATAAATGTTTTTCTTTAGTTTTGTAGTTTTTTCAGACGCATCTTTTGAGCCTTCATTGAACATTTTTCGTCTATATTAGCCTGAGATATTAAAGTTTTAAAAATCTAAATTTTTCGAAAATAACACTTTTTTGAAAATTTTGTTGAAAAATATAAAAGTAACTTTAAATGTATCATTACCAACTTGTAGAGCATTAAAAAAGGCTTCGATTAACCTATTTTTGAACCTGATTCGGTCAGAAATTATGAAATTATTGATATTTGAAAAATCAAAAATTGTGGAAAATATAATTTTTTCAACATTCTTGCGTTTATTAACTTATGTGTAATTATTAAACTATTATAACCATCTTATAGAATATATAAAAATATATTTTTTGGACCAAGATTTTATGATTTTTAACTCTTTTATAAAAATTAATTATTATATTTCAATTATTTTTAGTTACTTTCATGTTGTACGTGTTTAATAAATAAAAAATTATAGTTAGTTAACTTATATTTCTCGTTTTAAAAAATTTTAAATCTCGTAGGTGCGGAAAGTTTGATAAATTGCTCATTGTAATGCAAAAATACAGTTTTATATAAATCGCTTTTATTTATTATTAATACTTTTAAACTTGTTATTTTTTGTATATTCGATTAATTAATGTATTTTTAAAGTCAAAACTTCGTGGTAAATTATGATTCAACGTATTTTTATTTTTATTTTATCAACACGGTAATTGGAAAACGTTTTGAACTTGTGCGCCAAATACCGTGGGTCGTTATTATCATAAAAAATAATATGTAAAGTGACAAATCGTTCTTTTCAAGTTAAAGGAGAACCGCAGGAATTAAAAAATAATTTCAAAATGATTTAGACCAAATACTATTGTTATTTTAATAATAATTACTATTTTCATAAAAAATATTTAATTAAATGTTATTAGGTACTAAATACAGTTAATAGATTTATAACGAATTCTGTGATTATTATTAGTATCTGCTAAAATATAAGAATATTTATTGTTAAATTAATAAACCATTGTTTCAAATTTGCTTAATTTCATTCAACCGTTTGCGATTTCTACAAGTTGAAATTTTCGCGGTATAAGGCACACGGTATTCGTCTTAATGCAAAGAATAAGATTTTTGATTCATTTTTCAATAAATAATAACAAGTATATGGAGTGTATAACTCCTTTTTCATTTTAAGCCAAGTATAATAAAGTAAAGATTTCCTTCTTTCTTGTGGCCTAATGGCTTTAAAGCTATTAGGCCACAAGAAAAAAGGAAATCTTTACTTTAATAAATAATAACATTTTATTGTACAACATGATTTTTAAGAAAAAATGAATTTTTATTAAAAGTTCAAATTTTTTGTCTACCCAGTAAACGAAAACTAATTGAAATGAATTAAAAAGAATTCACAAAGAGCTTTCGTGAATCCCGCTTTGTGACAAATACGAATTGGAGCCATGATGCAATTTTCCTGAATTCGTGAAACTGTATTGAACTTCCGAACCTTCTATCCGTACCAATTCACTGGACAAATTTTGAGCCTTTAATTTTTTTTCAATTCGTTAGCACGAATTCAATGCATTCCTTGGCCATTTCTTTCGAATGCGAATTCGTTTGGACAGATTGGTACATATTGAATTAAATTCAATTGAATATACAAAGAGCTTGAGTGAATCCCGCTTTGTGACAAATACGAATTGGAGCCTACCAAAAATGTTAATTCATTTCAATTCATTTGAATTAGTTTTTTTTTACTGGGTATAAATGGGTTTAATTCTATAAATTTAAATACAATATATACTTTATATATACCAATCGATTCGTCTTGGTGCAAAGAATAAGATTTTAGAAATAAATGAGTAAGATTTTCTTATACGGCAACATAATTTTGCGGAAAGAACTCATTTTTTGATAAAAATGCGAATTTTTTAGCTTTAATTGTGATTAACTCTGTAAATTTTCATACAATTTATACTTTTTATATACCAATCGATTCGTCTTGATGCAAAGAATAAGATTTTATTATAGATTAACTTCAATAACCAACTTAAAAAAATTTTTTTTCAAAAAAATTTTTTTAGAAAAAAGTAAAAAAAAAATTTTTTTTCTGAGAATTTTTTAAAGTCTATCATCAATCCATTTCGAAATATTTTTATGATAATTATACCTGGTAAATTTTAGCCAAATTCGTTAAAACCTCTTCGAGTTATCGTGTTCACAAAAATCGGGATCCACACACACACACACACACACACACACACACACACACACACACACACACACACACACATACATACATGCATACATAAATACATACACACATGCACACATACACACATCCATACATACATCCGGACAATTGTTCAGGGTCTTATATAACATAGTCCTATATATAGAAGAAAATTTGTTAAAAGGATTTTTAAAAATTTTGTAAATTAAACGACTACAAAGCTTCCTCACGAGGAAGCAAAAGGTTTCAAATTAAAATCTTTGAAAATCTGAATTTTTCTGTAACAATTCTGTGGAATTATTTTTTGAGAAAGTTTAATTGCGGATTTTTTTAAAATTATTTTAAGTTTTTATTTTCTAATGTATACATATATTTAATTGAAGAATTTACGAATAATTGAAATTTTGTAAAATTGAATAAATTGTATTCAAATGAATTTGAAAATTCTCAAAGAACTTTCTCAAAAATTATTAAAAATAATGCTTTATAAAAGAAGTTTTAGAAGAAGAAACACGAAAAAAAAATTTAATTCTCGAAAAGTTACAAATTATTGCAGAAATTCAATTATTTTTAAGAGTAATAATATTCTTCGCAAAAATGAAATATATTATTCAAAAATAATAAAATTCTTCTTAGGGATTCAATTATTTTCACAAATAATAAAACACGAGTAATTATTTTTAAAAATTGTATTAAAATTCGTCGAAAGAATTCAATTATTTAAAAATTTGTTGATTAAATTCTTTATCGGAATTGAATTTTAAGAAACATTCAACTATTCAACAAATTATTTATTTTTGAATTTAAACAATTGAATTCTAGTAGAATTTTCTAATAAATATTGATTTAAAAATGAATGTCAGTTAAATTTGCAGATAATAATTGAATATTAAGAGCAATACAGCGTGAATTTTTTAAAATTGTCAAAGAACTTTTTCGAAAATTATCAAAAATAATCGATTTTAAGAAGAATTTTAGTTAAAAATTGTTGAATATAATAATTTTATCACTGGGTCATCTTTAATTATTATAAAACATGAAGAAATCGATCACTCCGAGTCTTCGACTCGGAGTTATCGAAAAAAGTTAAAAATAGTTTTAAAAAATAAATAATAATAATAATACTAAAAAATAGTTATGAAAAATTGAATTAATAGTTTTAGGTAAAATGTTCTCTTATTTGACTCGGATTGGTTATATTTTTGTCAGTTATTGGTCTGTAATTTTTCATTTTTGGTCTGTAAAGTCCGTATTTTTAAATACTTGAACTGGTTCGAGCCCTGAATCAGAAATTTAATTTATAGTAACATAAATTTTCAATTGTTTTCACTATCTTTCTAGGGTGTGCGTTGGCATGCAAGTCCCTCCTGCTTCAAATGAAGACTGGTATTGTCGTCAGTGTCTATCGAAAAAGCAGGAACTTCATCATGACAAAAAGAAGAAGAAGGGCAAAAAGAAAAAAGTGAAAATGCCCGCCTAGTATAAGCTAACCGGGCCCGGGATAAGGCCCGGTTTGTCAGTTACAAATCGCGTGAAAGCAAAGACAAAAACAACTAGCAAAGAAGCTATGAAAAATTTGAAAGGTAAAAAAGTCCCTAAGAAAGAAATGAAAATGCACGTGAAGGGAATGAAACTAAAGTCAAACAAATTAGATGCTAAAGATAAGAAAAGTATGATTAAAGTGAAAAACACGAAAAAACTTAAGAAACTGAAAAATCCAAATTCCGAATTCAAATCTCAATAGTATCCACATTTTGGTGTTTAATTAATCAAATGTTGATATGTATAAAAAATAATTAAACGAAGAATATTTTCATCCGGAAAAAAATTTATGATTTGGAACTTAAGAAAAAAAGTTATTATAAAAAAAACTCTTTTTCAAAATTTAAAAATAAATCATTTAAAATTGTAGAAAGAATCCAAATTTTCAGTGTTTGTTTTTGCTTTTGAGAAATAACTTGTTAAATTTTATATAATTGTTTTACTATGTCATGTAATCTATTTTCCTTGTATATAATATTTAAAAAAATGTGTCTCATTATTGTTAAGAGATAATAGAAATAGATCGTGTACATATTACTTATAATACGTGGTTATTAAGGATCGACTACAATATTTTTAAAATTTTTTTTTATAATTTACATTTTTCACGTCATTCAAAATAACTAGTACACTACATTGAAACTATTTCTGTTGTATAATTATTATCGGTTAACACAAATTATGAATGAACGAATTTACAAAAATTGTTTGCAATTTCATATTATTAAGATTTTCATTTTTTGCTCTCCTATTTTTTTGTTTTTCTATATTTTTCATTTATATAATTAGTAATTAATGCCAAATATATAAAACATCTTTGAGACATATAAAACTTAATTTAAAGAAATGAATAAAATTTCTCGTTTTGAACTTGATTAAAATTATATATTTTTTGTTTTTTGAATTGAAATTTAATATTATCAGAAATAAATAAATTAGGTGAAAAAATGAAATCGTATTTTAACAAAATTACGATTATTTATAATAAAGGTTTTTTAAGTAGATTTCCTGTTTTGAAAAATTAAAAATTATGTTTGCTATAAAAAATTTGAATTTTTTTTTATTTACCAAGTATATACTTGGGCGATATTAAAAAGTATATTTTTTTGTTAAACTAAACATGTTGATTTCTACATAATTCATTATGTATTTTAATTAATTATTTTCTATATTTTTTCTAATATTCTTCCAAAAACAAATTAAAAAAATATAGACATGATTGTTAAAGTGTATTACACTCTTTTTTGTTAATTTTACTCAGCAAAAGTTGTTACTACGAATGAAAGAAAATTACAATTTTAGAAAAATTTTGTATTTAAGGACGTCATCATAATCTAAAGTTCTTAAAGTAAAAATAATCAATTAACATTTAAACGAATTAAATTTTATTATTGATAGTATTTTCTGGAAGAATGTTTTGAAAATATGCTTATTTGTTAATAAAAAGTGAAAATTTCCCTTTTAAGTAAATAAGTATATTTTCAAAACGGCGTATTTATTTAAAAATCTTTAGGATGAAGTTGCAAAGCATAATTTTCTAAAGAAAATAAAAGCCATATTAGATTAAAATCTAATCATTTTAAAAACAAATTTTAATACGATATTAATCACCTGTAAATAAAGAAATACATTTTGTTTAAGTTAGATATTTTTGTTCTCCTAAAAAATATTATCAATGAAAATTGTTTAAATGTTATTAATTATTTTTGTATAGATTCTCTTTGACGAACCACATTAGCAAATGAAAAGAAAAATCGCTGTTAATATTTATAAGTTGAACTTAAGAAAGGGAAAATATTTAAATCTTATATTAGGAAGGAAAAAGCGCATGTTTATAGTCGAAAGACTTTTTAATTAGTAATTTTTCATTCGAAGAACAAGAAAACTAAGTAGCAAATTGTTGTGAAACAACACAAATTGTTAAAAACAAAATAACAAATTAACACAAGGCAATTGAATTATCTATATATTAGATCTATAGTAACAGATATGCATACAAACAATAAATTCACAGTGTCAAAATTGTTGAATAGACGTATGTATAACTTCCATAAGTGTATTTTAGAAAAACTTGAAAATGTACGAATATAATATATAGTATCAAATAATTTATGTATTTTGAATTTCTTTAATTAATTAAACATCCCTCTACTTTATATCATTTATAATTATATTTATTGAATTGAATAAATAAAAAAAAACAAAAAACTTTCTGTTAGAAAGCAAAATAATTATTTATTGTAAAAAAATGATTTGCTAGTTAAATATTAGATATATAAATTTATTCACAATGCAAAATTGAATTTTCATAACTATCTCGACAAATTTATTTTACAATTCATTAACAAGAATATTTTGAAAAATTTGTAATCTATGAATGAGTGGAAATGAGTGAAAAAAACTACTACGTAGTTTACGTAGTTTCTTGGTACATAATTTTTAGAAATTTCTTTGGGAAAACATTGATTTATCTCAACTCAAGTTTATTTTGCTCTTTATCACTGGAGTATTTAAACCACCAACATCACCAGACTCTAATTGTTTTAATAATCGAAACAATGCAGCTGCTTCTCTAATTCGACTAAACTCTATGCAAAACGCTTGCACTTCTATAAACAATTCCTGTACGTTAATAATTTTATTCCTAATGAGGGACTGCAGAAAGACGCAAACCAAACGAACGAGACGATTCTGCATGTAGCGATCCTTGATTGTTTCACAAGTCGATATGCAATTGCTGATGTAGAGATGAACGAATTCCGTTGGTAAATCAACTGTTGTCGTCAATCGGTTGACAACTTCCATTGAATGCAGTGACATTTCCATATTGACAAGAACACTAAAGTATTCGGTGATTTGACTTGACTGCATTAATTTCAGCAGAACTTCAATGGCAATCAAGGGATTGTTTTCCACTAGATCGGGGAGCTTACTTGGTGTCAGTCCAATGTGGTAGACGAGTTTGGGATCCTTGTCGAGGACCGTGACGAGGTACTGTTGCTGCTGAAGGGTCAATACACTTTTGAAGGCTTTGCCCATCAGTCGCCTCGCGCCGGCACAATTCGAGACACACATGCTGGTGTCGTACTCGACGGTGAATTGGGTCGGCTCCGTGAAATTCATCCAAACCGGATCGCCCAGTGTCTGGAAGAGTGGCGGCGCGAGGCGGAGGAATTCCGGGCGGTAACTCTGCTCAAAAAGGGGCGGACTCCCAGTGACCAGCTCTTCAATTACCTTCTTACTCGCAGTTTTGTCCTTATCCTTCGGATTGAGTCGTTCAGTTTCTGGCAGAATCACTGGATTGCCACATTTTGTCACTGCCGGAAGTTCCGATTGACGCTCCACTATTTGCAATTGCAAACTTGTTAAATCTGGTTGGGACGAAGGTACAAAGTAGAGTTCATCAATCACTTGTCTTGGGGATTTTTTCATTATTTCATTGCTCTTCGGACCCAATAATCCTGCAAGTAAATTTTTCTCGCATTGCGACAATGCTGGAACGTGACTAGGATTACTGATTTTTCCACCAACCGTCGATTCCTCGGGTGCCTTCAAGATTTGCACGAACACCGATGCGAAAGGTGTGCAGGCAATTGATTCACCTCGATAAAGATCGTACAAAATCCCAACGGCAATCACCCGTTGAATTTGGTTCGCAAGGAGATCATTGTGTTGCAATAATAACAAAAGAGTCATTCCAATCTGAAATAAATAAATACAATTATAAACATTTGCTGTAGCAAACTGGCAAATTTCATCAAGTAAATGATACCAATACCTTAAAATGATTTTCCTTGGCAAATTTTTGATGCAATTGATTTGAAAGACTTTCAAAGCTAATGTTGACATTTTCCTCATTCACAATATCTAACAACTGTACCAAATCTTGTGGAGACAATGACATTTTTATCCTAAATGTGAAACTTATACTATTACATTAGATTTGTTGTTTAATAAATTTCGTGCTTTATGTTTACGATGTTTACAAGATTAAAAATTAATTCCTCTTATTTTCGGAGTCAGATAAATTCAATCCAAGAAGAACATAATGCTATTCAATTTTTTTAATTACTTTAAATGTTAAATTAATTATTTATGAAATAATCTTTATTATAATAAGTTAGAAACAATTGAAAACATGGTATTTAAATAACCTAAATAACCACTTGCACCACAGACGTAGTTTTCAATTGATGGATAACTTTCATGCGGAAGCGCTCATGCGCAAACCCTAGCAAGTGTGCTTGCCTACCGCTCTGAGCATCTCGAAGCAGCTCGGCATGTGTGCATATAGGCACACCTGCACGTGTGCTTTGAATGTTTTGATTCTCATCATTTTTCATAAATTAATAAAAACTAAGTGCCTTATTTAATTAAACTGTTAACAATAATTATAAATATTGCTTAAAGTAATAAATAAAATATATTTTATTGAAAAGCGCTTAATTTAATTTATTTCACTGATTTTTTTTCAAAAAAATTTACATAACCTCAATATAATTTAACATCTACTTTATGTTAAAAGCAAGAACTTTATTTTGTTTTAAGATAATTCTATAACATTTTTGTTCAAAGTATATAATATATAATTATAATAAAATTTAAAAAATTTAATTTTATTTGTTATGAAAATATTTATTTATTTTATTTATTTTTTATTATTTTATTTTATTATTTATTAATATTTATTTTATTTATTTATTATCCATCCATCATAGCTTTTTTCACTTTATTGTCAATTACAAAAATGCATTGCTTTTCCTCTTTGTATTCTATTTTTATTTTTTCCTTCGCAAACTCCATCTAAAATTGTGTCGCATGTTATAGTATTATAATTTTTTTTTGATAATAAATATTTTCATAACAAATAAAATTAAATTTTTTAAATTTCATTATAACTATATTATATACTTTGAACAATAATGTTATAGAATTATCTTAAAACAAAATAAAGTTCTTGCTTTTAACATAAAGTAGATGTTAAATTATATTGAGGTTATGTAAATTTTTTTGAAAAAAAATCAGTGAAATAAATTAAATTAAGCGCTTTTCAATAAAATATATTTTATTTATTACTTTAAGCAATATTTATAATTATTGTTAACAGTTTAATTAAATAAGGCACTTAGTTTTTATTAATTTATGAAAAATGATGAGAATCAAAACATTCAAAGCACACGTGCAGGTGTGCCTATATGCACACATGCCGAGCTGCTTCGAGATGCTCAGAGCGGTAGGCAAGCACACTTGCTAGGGTTTGCGCATGAGCGCTTCCGTACTTTCAACACTTTTTGTTAAATGTATGAACTGACCGCTCAGTTTAAGAAGAGAGCTAGTGTCGAAAGACCACAGACCCCGCAGGCGCAGCCCCCGCAGACAATCAGTGATTTTGTAGGTTAGAAAACCAAAGATTGTAAACGTAAACACTAAAAAATGGCATCTCCTTTGGAAGATTTAGAGCTAAAATTAGAATTATTTATTGAAAATATGAGATTAACTCGAATAGTTGTAAGTGATTTTCAACCACAGGGTCAAAATGTACTAAACCAAAAAATGTAAGTTTCATTTTACGCAATTTAAAAAGAAATTTTATTGCACTTGTACTCTTTGATTTCACGCATTATTTTGCAATAACAAGTTTATTGTTTATAACCATGAATTTAGTACGAAATATCTTCAGTTCTCTTTATGACGAACTTTAATGTTCAAGTATAATCAATCCTTTTGGATTTTTATTGGCAAAATATAGCCTAAAATTGCCTTGTACACCACACACTGACACACTCCACTTCTGTTTAAGAGGAGATTCCACTGATTTTTTTCAAAACATGTAAATTTTTACGGAAAAAACAGTCTGAAACGATAAAAATAGTTTCGCGAGCAGGAGGGTAGAAAAAACATCCCCCTCCCACCTCGAAAATAGGTGTTTTTTTATTAATTAAATGTAATTTGTTTATTTTTTAATTTACAGTTTTTCTTGTGCACCGATTGAAAGAGTAGTTCTTAAACTATAAGAAATGTCTATTGCTACATAACAAAGGTTATATGTATAACTTTAAGTTAAATTTTTGTATATTTGGTCCTTCAAACTTTAAACGCGTTTTTCTCGAAACTGCATATTTTCAACTTGTTTACACTCTTATTTTGACACTTTTCAACGAAATAACTTGAAATTTAAACAGCATGTTCCTTTAATGTGTAGTTTTCGTGTGAACTAGGATGTTTAAGATCCATTAATATTTAAAAAAAAGTTAGAAACAATTTAAGTTGCAAAATTATGGTCGAAAAATTCAAAGAGTCTGTCATTCCGTTATTTTTCAATAAATATTTCTGATTCTAGTTCACACGATAGCCAAAATGGTATATAGATTAAGAAACTTTTTTATTTTTCATTTCGGATTAACCATTTCAAACAAAAAGTGTAAACAACTTTTAGAGAGGACCACTTTCGGCAGCCATTTTCTAAGACATCAATAAAAAAATAAATAAATCAAAAATGTTTTTATTTACTTCAAGACCTGCATTTTATTGTAAAAAAATTTTATGTAATAAACATTTTTTTTCTATGAAAAAAAATCTTTGAAAAAAACCTTAAAATCAGTGGAATCTCCCCTTAAACTTTAAATATATAATAATATACAAATTTTTGTAATAGAAAGATATTTTTAAATTTTAGTTGCTTTCTTAGCAACTAAAATCAGCCCATTCAGCTTTTCTTTAACGCAATTACAGGATTAAGTTTTAAACCTAGCAATGGTTAATTAAAATGTCTATTTTTTTAATGTCTATTTCCAAATGTTTGTTATCTTTCAATAATATACTATTTTGAACTAGAAACTGCATGACATGTTTTTAGGCTTTAATGGATAGGGTATAATCGATATGAAAAGTGTACTAGTAAATTCTCATTATTAGAAAAAAAACAATGGAAATTCTTACTCGCGAAACAATTGGATTTTTTGTTTTAAAACCATTTTTCTAAGACTACAATGTTCTTAAATAATGTAGAGCAAATTGAAAACAATAAAGAAACTTTAATACTAATCAACAATATTTTAAATAGACAGGGAATCGTTACCGGCTTACAAGAAATCGACAAACTAAAATCTCAAGTTAAAGATGTCCATGTTCCTTTAGAAGTCTTTGAGTAAGTAATGAATTAAAAATTTTAATATCTAAGTATCTCCGAAAAATAATTTACTGAAAATGTATATATATATATATATATATATTTTATATTGACTCTTTAAACTCATATTATTTTTTATGTTTTAAATTGTTTCCTTGATTTTAAAGTTTAATTTACATTCTATTCATTATTTTTGTAATTAATGCGATTGACCCGATTATCCGGACAAATTTCAAATATTTTTTTGTTTTTAATTTTAAAGTTTATAAGCATTTAATTAATTTTAATGGATTTTAAGAAAATATTTATGTAAATCTTTTGAAATTTTTCTAATTAAACATTTATTAATGTTGACTTTATGAGTTTTATTTCGTTTCAGTCTTATTTAAAAACATGCAAATAAATGCCTAAAATTAAAAATGGAAAATTCGTTTATTTTGTACTTTTTTCGATTCATTAGTCCGGATAATGGAGTCTCTACTGTATGTAGTTGCTTTTGTAACTTTTTAGATATGTATTGTCCCGTTTATAATAAATAATGTTTGTCTAGCTACATCGATCAAGGTAAAAATCCACAACTTTATACAAAAGATTGCATTGAGCGGGCACTAGCAAAGAATGAAGAAGTCAAAGGTAAAATTGACGGCTATAGGAAATTGAAGGCGAATTTACTTGTAGAATTCAATCGAGTTCTTCCTAATGAATTGGCAAAATATCGAGCAATTCGCGGCGATGAATAAATTAAGTACTTTAGATTTTTTTATGTTTAAACAAATATTATTAATTATTTGCTATTTGTTAGTAAAAATTCAGCAATAATATATCATAATAATTTTTTTTAATTTTGCTTTTTTTAATTCAATTATGTTAAGTCAACTTTCTAAATATACTGTTTAAATTAATAAATATCTTTGAATAATTTTTTTAAAATAAAAAAGTGTCTACTTGAGTTATTTTTGCTTTCGTCTTCAGTTTGGAATTTCCTGGTCGAGAGATAATAAAAGAAAAGAAATAAGATAAAAATTTAACGTTTTTGTTAAATTTAAGAAAAAGACCGTTTATATTGATAACATTTTTTATTTACACTTTCGTCAAAATTTCGTGAGGTTTTCCTCATTGCAGATTTTTCTTTTTAATAATAAATTTTTAAATCAATGAATTCTTATCATATATTAAAAATTATTTACCAAATTTATTTAATAAATACTTAGTGAGAAATGAATACTTGAAAATCTATTTATAATCCATCTACTAACTTATCTCAGGTATAATCGCTATCGCAGAAAATACATTTTCCTTTGTTGCGTGGTTTTGGTTTCTTCGGTTTATTATTTGAATACGGTTCGGTTCGGTTCGGTTCGATTTCTTGTAGAGATGAAATTATAAACCTAACGATTCCCTTCCTTTCACTTTTTCCTTCGGAGTATCAAGTGGGAGAATAATGTTTCGATTAAAAAGGCTGAAATTTTCTCAACGTTCAGTCGCAATGTTGATTATCACTGGCGGGATGCTTTTTATATTTGCGCTTCTCTCATCACAATTGTTCACTGTCAACTATGCTGAATTTCTTAGGTAAGAATAATTAAATAATATTTTTTTTTCAATCCACATCAAGTCACCAAAAACTAATTAAAACCATAATTTATTTTTCCAATAACTGAAAAATCAAGATTTCTCCAAGTCATATCAAAAGCAAATTAAAAAAGTTTTCTTATAATGCACGTACAGAAAGTTGAAAAGTCTAATAAAGTGTAAAAGTAGGCTTATTATAATGTTTATGAAAGGTGAAAGTAAATTATTAGGTTTCTTTTACTCGTTACTAACGTGTGTGTATATGTGTTGGATTTTGTCATTGACAGTAAATAAAATTAATTATTGATTAGCTAATTTGGTTATTAAAATTTACAATTGAATTGAATTTGTTTGCAGTCCATGGCATTACGAGTGCAAGGCAGGATTTTGTCAAAAATTGGCAATCACAACAAATGTAACTAATCCAAAAGCACTCTCAACATGTCAATTAATTTGTGGCGATGGGAATATCTGGCCAAAACCGACAAAACATCATTCAATGGACTCACGTACCGTTACATTGAATCCAGAAAAAATTGAAATTAACGGTATTAAATTGGGTACACGCATTGGAGAACTTTTAAAAACAAATTTTCAAAATCTCAAGGAAAATATTAACAGTCTGAGCACGAAAAAATCGTCCGGTCACACATTAATCGTCACCTTTCAAGTTGAATCCGACAATATTTTAATGACCATCGACACTGATGAAGCCTACACTTTACATTTGTCAGAGAGCCAAGAAAAGATTGTAAGTATTGAAAAGATTGTAATTATATAAGTGGGTTAAAGAAAATATAAAAAACAATCCTTCTTCCAGATAAACGCAAAAATAATTGCAAAATCCTACTTCGGAGCTCGCCATGGATTGGAAACATTATCGCAATTAATTGTTATTGACGATTTGCGAGATGAAATTCACATTTTAGCGGGTGTTCACATTGAGGATCAACCAGTGTTCCCCTACCGAGGACTCTTATTAGATTCAAGTCGAAATTTCATGGATAAGGATTCAATTCTGCGAACTATCGCTGGTATGGGAATGTCGAAATTAAATACTCTTCATTGGCATATAACGGATTCGCATAGTTTTCCAATAGTTAGCAAAACGTGGCCAAAAATGTCGCAATACGGAGCTTACAGTCGTGAGAAAACTTACACCGAGAACGATGTGCAGGAAATTATTAATTTTGGACTTCTTAATGGCGTTCGTATCTTGCCGGAATTTGATGCTCCCGCACACGTTGGCGAAGGTTGGCAATGGGTAAGAAATTTTATTTTATTTTTAAACAAATCATTTTTTTCAACAAAAATAAATCAAAATAATTATTTTCATTTATTTTATTTATTGATGATTTATCTTATTAACAATTAATGTAGTTAATTAGGGGTGGCCACGCAACCTGGAAATGTCAGGGAATTTTATAAACCTTGAAAAAACCTGGAAAAGTTGGGGACTTTTGATCGGAATCCTGGAAAATTATTGTTTTCTAATTGTGCTTATTCTTGAAATCTAATTTTACTTAAATATTTCAAAATTATTTCAATTTTAAAAGAGTTGCGTTTACAATTTTCATAATGAGATGAACCTCAAAAGGTTTTAATTTGAAATTTTAGAATTTCAAATTAATAAATTTTTAATAAAAATTTTACAAGAATTCTATTATTTACAAATTTTTTATAAATATCTTGGCAATAATTCAATTATTTTTATGAAGAATAATATTTTTTACCAGGAATTCAATTATTTTAAAAAAATTAAAAAATTCTTTATAGGTTTTCAATTATTTTCATAAATAATAAAATTCATCGCAAAATTTCAATTATTTTTAATACACTTTTAATGAAATTTCTCGAAAAATGAAATTATTCTTAAAAATTTTATTAAAATTCATCAAAGAAATTCAATTATTTTAAAAAGCCTTCCTATAATTTATTCATTAAAATTTAAGTATTATTGTCAATACATTTTTAATTAAATTTCTTAAAAGAATTCAATTATTTTCAAAAGAAATAAAATTCTTCGCAAAAATTCAATTATGTTCAAAAGTTTAAAAAAATTCTCGTCAAAATTCTTCGCAAAAATTCAATTATTTTCAAAAATTTTAATAAAATTCTTGGTAAAATTTCAATTATTTTCAAAAACTTTTCTCAATTCAATCAAATTTTTTACAGAGATTCAATTATTTTTAATACAATTTTAATCTAATTTCTCGAAAAATGTAATTATTCTTAAAATTGTTATTAAAATTCGTCAAAAGAATTTTAATTATCTATTTATCTAAAAAATTTATTGATAAAATTTTTTAAATGTAAGTTCAATTTTAAAAAACATTCAATTCATCAATAAATTATTTATTAATTATTATTATTACCTATTATTAAAATTATTATTATTATTATTATTATTATTATTATTATTATTATTATTATTATTATTATTATTATTATTATTAAATGGTTTCGAATTTGAATTAGTGACTGACTTTTTACTTTTGAATTAGCAGATTTTACTAATAAATAGTCGTTTCTACTAATTTAATAGTAAAATTTACTAATTCAAAAGCGAAAAGTCAGTCACTACTTACAATTAGTAAGCATTTTTATTTTTACTAATTCAAATTTTTAGAAATAATTAAATTTTGAAAAGGTTTCAAATTATAATCTTTGAATGTTTGAATTTTTCATACTTTTAACTAAAAATTGTGTATACATTTAATTTTTTTGAAAAAGTTAAATTGAATTTTTTTTAAGTTTCTTGAAGTTTTTATTTTCTAATATACCTATATTTGATTGAACAATTTCCGAATAATAGATGAAATTTCGTAAAATTGAATTGTAAACAAAAGGAATTGAAAATTTTCAAAGAAATTTTTCAAAAATTATTAAAAATAATTTATTTAAAGAAGAATTTTAGAAAATAATTGAATTGAAATGAAAATAATTTTGATAAAGTTACAATAACAAGATTCTTATAATATAAAATAATGATTTTATCATTCGGTTATCTTTAATGACTCGGAGTGATCGATTTCTTCATGTTTTATAACAATTTTTTTAAAATTCTTTAATTTCAAAAAGGTTTTGAATTTGAATGTTTTGTAAAATTTTAATTTCTATAGAAAAGTAATAATTATTAAATATTTATTTAAAAAAGAAGCAATAGAAACATTTTTTTGAGTAATAATTTTTAAACTGAATGAAAATATTCTTTAGAGTCAAGGAGAAGTAAGAATTTTGTTTGGAATTCAAGGGAAAGTCAGGGAAGAACAAAATAAAATGTTTGTTGGCAACAACAAATGTAGTTTTAAAAACCTGAAAAAGTCAGGGAATTTGAAATGAGCAACAGCGTGGCAACCCTGAAATTAGTGAAAATTTAATAATTTTTTAATTTATCTTACAAAAATAATAACACAAAACAATTTTTTATATCATATATTTAATTTAATTTCTTTCTTCTTCATTTATAAAATTTTAAAAAATAATAAAATTAAAAATTTGACTGTCATACATAAATTATTTTGAAGTAATTGTAAAAGGACAAAAAAATGAATAGGAATGAAATTATTGATTAAAATAGGTCGGAGATGATGCGGTTGTTTGCTTTAATGCTGACCCCTGGAATAATTATTGCGTTGAACCACCTTGCGGACAATTAAATCCCACCAGCGAAAGAATGTATGAAATTTTAGAGGGAATTTATAAGGACTTTTTGGAAGCATTTCGACCCGATATGTTTCACATGGGCGGCGATGAAATAAATGTCAATTGTTGGAATTCCTCGGCGTCCATTGGCAAATGGATGGAGTCCCGAAACTGGACACGAGATACGAAAAATTTCCACAAACTTTGGAAAAATTTTCAAGATAGGGCTTATAGCTTGTTGAAGAAATTAAATGGAGGCAAAGAATTGCCCGCAATTCTTTGGACAAGCGATTTGACGAATGAGGAAAATATCGATTATTTAGATCCAAAGAAATATATCGTACAAATATGGACGACAAAAGTTGATTCGACAATTAAACGATTATTAAATAAAAATCTACGTGTTATTCTTTCAAACTACGATGCTCTCTATTTTGATTGTGGGTGAGTTTACGAAATTTATTAATTTTTTTAACTCGTCTTAAATCGTTTTATCGTTAAGACTGTTACTTCAACAGAAGCATTGAAAGGAATATGGAAGGCATTAATTTATGTACATTTCTTGTTTTTTATTATTCAGATTTGGCTCTTGGGTTGGAGAAGGTAATAATTGGTGTTCACCTTACAAAGGTTGGCAACTCGTTTATGATAATTCGCCATATAAAATACTCGCTAATCAAGGAGTCGACGATGAAAAAAGAAAATTAGTTCTCGGTAATTGTTAATTTATTCTCGAACGTTTAGAATATACAAAATCAATTATAGTTTATTTATAGTTTTGGAATTGACTATAATTTTCACTTTTTACTACAGTTAGAATTTTTATTCGCTTTTTCCCTTTTTCATTCTTGTTCATTAAATCTCCAAAAATTGAATTTGAATACAAAAAATTGTTTCTTAAAATTACAATTTCTAAAATAATAAAATTTAAGATAATAATTAATTCGAAATCTTTAGGAGCTGAAGCAGCTCTATGGTCGGAACAAGTGGATAGTTTATCATTGGATATGAAATTTTGGCCGAGGGCCGCGGCATTAGCCGAAAGGCTTTGGACAAATCCAGAATCGAGTTGGAGATCAGCCGAGCAAAGACTTTTAAGACATCGGGAACGATTGATTAAAAAAGGAATTAATAGTGATACTTTGCAACCTGAATGGTGTTTGCAAAACCAAGGAAAATGCGTCCTTTAAGAAAACGAATTAAGTTGACGAGGAAATTAACTGTGATCAATAAGTATAAAAAGTACACACTAATTAGTTATTAATCTTTCAATTGTACTTGTAATGCAATTTTTCGACTTATTCAGTTTTAAGTTTATAACATAAAGATAAAATAAACCTAATAAATAATACAACAATTTTCAATAAATAAGATAAACCCAAAAATAAAATTTTATTATGAAATTCAATTTTTTTTTAAATATATTCAGTTATTTTTGGAAGAAGAGAATCGATAAACTTCTTGTTCACCTCGAAAAACTTGTCAATTTCGTTCGAGAATAAAAAAACTTGTCCTACAGGTTTTAATGTTTAAAACTTCTTCTGAAATTAACACATTCTCTTAACATTCTCTCTCGTATTCGCTATTTTAATTGCATATATTTTTATTATATTCATTTTTTTACCTAATACATTCAAATAAAAATGCAAATACAAAAAATTTATCATTTGTAAATTTCAAGAATTCTCAAAATTTTATCATTTTGAATTATTACCGCCCAATTTAATAGCGACAGTGCTGCTTTCAGAAATTTAATTAACCAGAAAATTTTTCTTTTTTCTTTTAAAATGATTATGTTTAATATAAAAAGGTTTTAAAAAAATATTATTAAAAAGGATCAGAATTACGTCCCATAATAATGGTTGCATTCATGGAAAATCATGAAAAAATTTTTCCTCACTTCCTTAGAAAATTTTGACAATTTTTTTCTTATATATCCCAAAAGAATATGAAAACACCACTTGTGAGAAATATCAGTAATTTAAAAATTATACAACAGCATAAAATTTACAATAAAAATATTTATTTTTTTAAATTACAAAATATCTAGAATGTTTAATAAAAAATTTTTTTTTTAAATATATTTATTACATACACCTATTATAATTAAAAAATTCATATAATTTTGTACAGTAAACAAATTTTATTTAAATGAAATAATGTTTTAAAAAATACTATTTTGAATGTTTTATACTAAATATTTCTGAGAATTATAAAAAAATTCGAATGACTTATAATCGAAATTGAGACAATTGGTATAAAAATGTAAGAAAAGTGGGGGAAATTAAAAATATCAATATAATATTAAAAATGTATATAAATTTTATTTTCCATCACCAAAAGATTTCTTTTTTCTCTCAAAATAAACTTTATATATATATATATATATATATATACACACAATATTTTAATAAATATTCTATGATACAAATCATAAGAAACTTATTTAGACACAATACATAATTAATTATTACAAACAAATGAACACATTTGTTTCATTCATTTCTGTACGTTGAAAAAATAATTGAGCAATATTTCTATGTTACGTATTTCTCGTTATAATTTTTTAAAAATCTTAATATGTGATCAAAGTTTAAAGTTCTATTCATTTTAATTTAAAAATAAATAATTAAAATATAAAAATTACTCACTGAAAAAATAATTTTAGTTTCAATTTTACAATTATTACAATGTCATTAAATTTTACACAATTTTTGCACAATATATCTATATACATCACGATTTTCATCTCCTATCTATACTTAATGAAAAATGTAATATTTTTGTTACATTTGGCATTCTTTGAACTTTGATTACCTTATATTTTCAATTAATTTCTAATCAAATTCATGACACATTTACTTCTCTCTATTTCATCTAATTACCTAAATACTAATTAATTAGTCATTTTCGGCTTATTTATTATGTAATTTCTAATTAATTAGTACTTATTAAGTTTAAGTATTGCAAGTTAACCACAACTTGTATAATGGAAGATTTATTAGAATGCATTTCAAATTTTCGTGCATCAGTGACAAATTTTTGCTAGTTACAATATTTTTTATAAAGTTAATTTTTTTTTGTTTTCTTGATATATGATAATATATTTTGATATATTTAATATGCACATTTAAAAAATGAGTATACAATGAAATTACATAAAATAAAATATTTACATAAAGCATATAGTGCTTATGAATTTTACTTTACAAAGTGATAATTTTTTACTTCTTAAAGTTCTCAAAAAGGAAACATTTAAAGAATACACGATATTACACATTGAATTAAAAATATAATAAATAATTTATTTTGATTCAAATATTTATGATGATTGACACCATTTTAAATTAAATTAAAGTGTTAAAATAATTAATTTTAAATTAAAATTGTATTCATTTTGTAAAAATATAAGTTTTATCTAAAAAACCATAGTTTTTTGGAAAAAAAATTTTCTTTATGTTGACTACTATTTATATCCACAAGACTTAATCTCGTGATAATTATCGAGTATCGGAGCACAAAGCAATTATAAATTTAATAAATCTATAATTTTACTTTGTATACAAATTTCTTTTAATTTGACTTAAATTTTAATTAATCGAAAAATTATTATTATTATACTAAGGCAACAGCTAAAGGAAGAAACAGAATCGTGCAGACCCTTGCGAATTTGTTGAAAAAATGTCAACAAATTATCGAGTATCATAATTCAGTTTTCGTTGATTTGAAAACTATTTTGAATAAAGTTGATTTAAAAAATTTTGAATATGTAGTTATTTGTGTTGCAAGGGCAACACGTCAGACTCAAAATATTAATTTTTAATGACAATAAAAAACCTTTAGTGTGGCCTACAAGGAGAACAGCGCAGGGCTCGAACTAGGTTTGTAAATCCCGTAAATTGTACGATATAACTTGGAGAATTTTAAAGAAATTACAAATTATTGCAAAAATTCGGTTATTTTCAAATTAAGTAATAAAATTTTTTGCAGAAATTCAATTATGTTCAAAAATTCTTTTAAATTCTCGTCAAAATTTCAATTATATTTAGAAATAATTAAATTCTTCTCTGAAATTCAATTATTTTCAAAAATTTTAATAAAATTCTTGGCAAAATTCCAATTACTTTCAAAAATTTCCCTCAATTAATGATTTTCAATATTTACTATTATAATAAGATCGTCCAAAAGAATTCAATTATTTAAAAAAAAATGTAACTAAAATTCTACGCAAACCTTTAGTAAATTGAAGGGCTAGTTGCAATAAGGGGACGAACGCGTGATTGAAAGGGATAATATCAAGGATTGTCACTGCTACCCGACTGGTAGTATCCCTTCCAAGCCTCGCGTTCGTCCCCTTATTTTATGTAGCCCTTCAATTTACCTAAAATACTACAAATTTAATAGGAATTCAATTATTTACAAATTTTTTATAAATTTCTTTGCAATCATTCAATTATTTTCATAAATAATAAAATTTTTACAGGGATTCAATTATTTTCGTAAATAATAAAATTCTTTCTAGGAATTCAATTATTTTCATAAATATTAAAAATCATTGCAGAATTTCAATTATTTTTAATACAATTTCAATCGCATGTAATTATTCTCAAAAATTTTATTAAAATGCGCCAAAAGAATTCAATTATTTAAAAATTTATGGATAAAATTCTTTATAAGAATTCAATTTTATAAATATGCAATTATTCAATAAATAATTTTTGTTTTATTTCAATAATTGAATTCTAGTAGAATTTTCTAATAAATATTGATTTAAAAATGAATTTCAGTTAAAGTTGCAGATAATAATTGAATATTCAAAGCAATATAACGTAAATCTTTAGAAATAATAGAATTCTGAAAAAATTTTGTTGAATTTTTTTTTTTTACTATTTGGAGTTTTTATCTCTCCATAAAATCAATTATTTTAAGAAATTTTAATAAAATTCTTTTCCAAAATTCAACTATTTTCATAAGTATTAAAATTCACCAAATGAATTTAATTCTTTTGAAAAGTAATAAAATACTTTACAGAAATTAAATTATTTTCAAATTTTCTGTTAAATTCTCGTCAAGAATTAAATTATCTTTATAAATAGATAGCGAAATTCTTCTCAAGAATTAAATTATTATCATAAATGGTAATAAACTTCTTGTCAAAATTTTAATTATTTAAACAAAATTTAATAAAATTCTTCGCATAAATTATTATTTAAATTCTTCTCAGGAATTCAAGTATTTTTTAAAATTTTAATAAAATTCATCAAAGAATTTTCAATTATTTTCAAAAATTGTTATAAAATTTTACTTAAATTCCTTTAATTAAATTATTGAATAAATTATTTATTTGGATTTTATTTGTATTTAAATAATTGAATTCTTGTAGAATTTTCACATAAAAATTGATTTAAAATTTTAGATAATAATTGAATATTAAAAGCAATATAGCGTGAATTAAATTTTGAAATTAGTTTTTTTGAAAAAGTTTCATTCAATTTTTTTAAAAATTATTTAAAATTTCTATTTAATTGAAGAATTTACGAATAATTGAAATTTCGTAAAATTGAAAATTGTCAAAGAACTTTTTCGAAAATTATTAAAAATCGATTTAATGAAGAATTTTAGTTGGAACTTCTTATAAATAATAATTGAATTGTAAATGATTTTTTCACTGGGCCAACTTGAATTATTATAAAACATGAAGATATTGATTGCTCCGAGTGATCGATATTTTTATGTTTTATAGTTTTAAGTAAAATGTTCTCTTATTTGACTCGGACTGTTTATATTTTTATCAGTAATTGGTCCGTAAAGTCCGTATTTTAAAATACTTGAACTGGTTCGAGCCCTGACAGCGGCTTTACAAAACCCCATCATTTAAATCTTCCAGTGTAGTGTCATTACTTTATGACATTTATCACTCTACATGATTTCCGTTTCACGTTTTTAGTAATCTCGAGAAAAATAAAATTGAGGTTGGTCAACATCTGCTGTAAACAACACGCAGAGTTAAGCATGTGCAGTGGTATCTCTTTAGATTTGCTTGTTAACAATTTATTGTTAATTAATTATCGAAACCGACAACCGACACTGAAATTTTTGAAATAAGAATTCTAATCACTGACACACGATTCTTCTGACTGTGTTGTATCTATCACAGATTGCATAGTATTTTTGGCTCTCTTATTTCTCAAATCAACAATGCAAAAAGCACCAGTTCCTAGTATCACTGTCAAGAATAAAATTGCTAATTGCAAATGTAAACCGATATATGTGCTGTAGAAAAAGCTGACGGCTGCTGCCACAGATTGACAGAATTTAAAAAGTGCAAAGGCAGGAGCACTTTCTTTCGAGTAAATGACGCCGAGTAGGGAATAAATTTGAGTGTTGAAACATGCGTCGCCAAAACCGAGAATAAGACTTCCAACCAGAGCGAGTGCTGGAGAGGGATTGATGAATCCAACGTCATTGGTATCCTAAAATTAAATTATGCTAAGTAAATAACTATTTTAACGTTTCGCGAAGAAAATGTATCATTTTGAAAAGTAATTACCTTGAACGGAGCATTGTTCGGCAGATTGAGTAAAGTGATAAGAAAAACGATTAAATGCATAACAAATCCTGCTGCGACAACTGGCCAACCAGACAGCGATTTGGTTCGCTTTGTACCAAGAATACCGAAAATGGCACCACCAACTACTTCTCCAATTCCAATGCAAATACCCGACAAGGGTATGTACCTCTTTCTCGATTCGCCCATTCCCTCGGTAAATCCAATGCTCGATGAATAAACTGACGAGAAGAACGTAAGTTCAAGTCCTGTGTAAATAAATGTCAATGATAAAAGTAAAATTTGCGGCGTAATGAATAGTACGAAAGCATCTCTAATTGCATGCCACGCAGACATCAATGGTTTCTCTTTTGGCTTCTCCGGTATTCGAAGTTCTTTATCGGCACTCGATACACCCTCAGCTTCGCCAAGGACAAAATTTTGCGGTGCACTCTTCATTAGCAGTAGAACACCGCCTCCAATCACTGCCAAACTCGTCAATACTTGAAAAACAATTCTTCGTTTTGCTTCTTGAATTTCCTCCTCTGTGAATGCAAAAAATGCACAAAGATTGCCGCCAAATAGCGACAATTGAAAAATTGCCCAAAACAATCCAGCATTTCGAGTCATTGTCTCGGCATCGCTGTTCTCCGTGAGATACTGACCGTGACCCGTCCATATTAATGCTGCACCAACACCCACCAAAGCTGATGCAGTGTACAGAAGATTCGTCGATGGCCATAGAAATGTTGCTATGAAAAATATGTAGCAAAATGCACCGGTCAGAATTGTTATTCGCGGTCCTGTTAATGAGATAAATGATGGCGCCAACCAGTTGCAGGATGCGAACACTGCGTAAATTATCGCTAAACTCGTGTATCCTTTCCCTGTAAACGAAGGATCTTCCTTGTGAATACTTTCCAAAACCGAGGGCTGAAACAAATTTTAAATCCATTAATACTGTGGCGCAATTTAACAATACTTCAAAAGCAACAAAATTAAGACAAGGCCTGAGAAAATTAAAGAAAGGAGAGTATCTGAATTATTCTTATCATTTCAACTCAAAACTTTGCCGAAATTCTGAAATCAAATAATTTCTATAAAAATATTTTTAAATTTTAAATTTAACAACATTTTATAAACTTTGAAAAAACCTGGAAAAGTCAGGGAATTTTGATCGAAATTCTGGAAATCTAATTTTACTTAAATATTACAAAATTAATTCAATTTTAAAAGAGTTGCGTTTACAATTTTCATAAATAGATAAACTTCAAAAGGTTTCAATTTGCAATTTTTTAAAATTTCAATTTTGAATGAATTAATTAAATAATAAAAATTGCACAGGAATTCTATTACCTATTTACAAATTCTTTATAAATTTCTTCGCAATAATTCAATTATATTTTGATAAATAATCAAATTTTTTACCGAGATTCAATTATTTTCATAAATAATAAAAAAAACTTTATAGGGTTTTCATTTATTTTCATAAATGTGACAGGGACAGTTAAAAGGGACCTCGGGTCGAAAAAATCGATTTTCACATTTTTATTGATTCTTATAGTAAACGGGCCTCTCTTTCCAACGCATTAAACCGCAGATTTCTAGCTGCATTAGTTTTCTCACAATTCAACTTCAAAGTTAGGTACTTTGACAAAAAACAGTGCAAAAAAATCATCTTGGTAAACTTCAAAGTCGTTTTACTCGAAATCTTTTTTTCGGACCGTAGTTCCCTTTCAACTGTCTCTGTCACAAATAATAAAACTCATCGCAGAATTTCAATTATTTTTAATATAAATTTTAATGGAATTTCTAGAAAAATGTAATTATTCTTAAAATTTTTATTAAAATTCATCAAAGAAATTCAATTATTTTAAAAAACCTTCCTATAATTTATTTATTAGAATTTAAGTATTATTGTCAATACATTTTTAATTAAATTTCTTGCAAGAATTAAATTATTTTCAAAAATTTTAATGAAATTCTTTTTAACAATTCAATTTTTTCAAAATAATTTTAATTAAATGCTTCATAGAAATTTAATTAATTTCAAAAATTTGTTAAAATTCAATTATTTTCAATGTCTAATACATATTTCAATAAAATTTCACAAACGAATTCAATTATTTAAAAAGAAATTTTAATAAAATTCGTCTCAAGAATTCAATTATTTTCAGAAGTAAAGTTTAAAAATTATTGACAAAATTTCAATTATCTTTAAAAATAATAAAATTTTTCTCCAAAATTCAATTATTTTCAAAAATTTTAATAAAATTCTTGGCAAAATTTCAATTATTTTCAAAAACTTTTCTCAATTCAATTAAATTTTTTTGCAGAGATTCAATTATTTTGAATACAATTTTAATCTTATTTCTCGAAAAATGAAATTATTCTTAAAACTTTTATTGAAATTCATCAAAAGAATTTTAATTATCTATTTAAAAATTTATTTATTTTTAAAATTTTTTAAATGTAAGTTCAATTTTAAGAAACATTCAATTCATCAATAAATTATTTATTATTAATTATTATTATTATTTTTTTTTCTTTTTTTTTTTTTGCTTAGGGACTTTTGGGAAATCTGCCTACAGATACCTTGGATTCCGCGCTCCAAGGTTATGTGGGGTTGGTATGATAAAACAAAAGGAAATACAAAAAAAGAAAAATAAATATATATATATATTAATAGTAAATTTAATAAACTGGCGACCTACTGCCAGCCCGACCCACTAAAACCCGTAACCCTTCTTCTGGAGCCCTTTACCCTCCCTCGGAACTGTCGTAAGACTTTAGCCTTCGAGGGTGGCGCTCCAACTCTGTCGCTAATGCGACCTTCTTCTTCTCTCTGCGGTTTTCCTGCGTCCGTAGTTAAAAAAATGATTAAAACTATTTCATAGTCTAAGCGGAATTTACAGCACAACAATAATAAAAAAAAAATTGTTTAAGAAGTGTTAAAAGTCAAAAGATAAAATTGTAAACGGATATAAAAAAGAAAAGAAAAAAAATGTAAACAGGTATATAGCGTTGAAAAGACAAAACTGTACAAAAACGAATAAAACAAAACAAAACAAATTAAAAAATGTAGAAGGACAAATAAATCACAAAATAAATTAATAAGAAACGAACAAATAAATTTGAAAGCTGTTTAAATTACGCTTTTTTGGCGGCCGTCAAGATCTTTCCTCGACATAACCGAGATTATGAAGTTCTCGACGTGCCGCCAATTCTCTTCTGATTGGGTCATCAGCGATACCATGTTCTCCGGTGTAACTTGACTGTTTACACTTTCAAACATGGCCCGCCTCTTCAAGTCCCATTTTCTGCATGAGAAGAGGGTGTGCTCCGCGTTGTCCTCAGGGAACTGGCAATATGCACACACCTCGTCCTCGCGTAATTTAAAGCGACACAGGTACGAGTTAAAACACCCGTGACCTGTGAGCGCCTGAGTCATATAATAGGAAACCTGACCGTGTTTCCTATTTATCCAGGTGGCGAGTGCCGGGATAAGGCGATAAGTCCATCGACCTTTTTCCTCACCATCCCATCTTTCTTGCCATCTTTCTATGAGCCTGTGCCTCGCTTCTTTGCGTATCAGGCCCTTGCTTGGTCTCAATTCCTCATCCGTGGAACTGCTTTCTTTAGAAAAGAGAAACATTTCTTCCCTTTTCCTCGCCAAAAGATCTGCTGGCGGGACACTTGCAAGGACCTGCACAGCACTCGTAGATACCGTCTTATTTGCAGAGATGATACGCGTTGTTATCGTCCGCCAACATTTGGCATTAGCCGTGAAAGATTAGCCGCACACTCGATCGCCTTATTTGACGCCGTAGCCATGTGGTGGTGGAAGTTTAACCTTCCATCTAACTCCACACCAAGATATTTAATTTGCTTACTCCACTTGACCTCGAATCCGTCTATCACGATTCGTGGGAGCTCATAACCACGTCTGTCTGTGACTAGCAGTGCCTCGGTCTTTTCCAGGGCCATTTCAAGACCTCTGGTATCCAGCCAGCTTTTTGCTAGTCGCAGACATTCGTTCACCAATGTCCCAAGAGCCTCCTCACTTTCGGCAGTGCACACGAACAACGCGTCGTCCGCAAAGCCGATGATCACCGCACCTTCGGGCAGATCCATTCGCAGAAAATCATCGTAAGATACATTCCATACAAATGGACCAACCCTCGAGCCTTGAGGTGCCCTACGCTGCATCTCTTCCCTGAGAGTGCAGGTGTCTCCCTCATATATAACCCACCTGTCGCTAAGATAATTATCCATTATCCGCAACAAGTAGGGCGGCATGTTTTTCTTTTCCATCGACTCGATGAGATCTTTCCATCTTGCGGAATTAAACGCGTTGCGTATGTCAATTGCTACCAACGCGCAGAAGCTCTTCTTTTTCCCAGGTCCCAATTTGTTATTTCCTGCTTTGGCTATGTCCACAACTGCCTGGATGGCATCAACTGTGGACTTGCCTTTACAGAAACCAAATTGGTGATCCGATAGACTATTCTCTCCGGTCAAGTGGCTTTGCATTCTCTGCAGAACCATATCCTCTAGCAGTTTGCCCATAGTATCTAGCAGGCATATAGGCCTGTATGATGAGACTTTATTTACACGGAGAAAAATTTTCTATTAATGATTACAATAGTCGAACAGTACTGCTCGGATATGTGACCACTTTTCGTAATGCCTAAAGTAGCTTCGTTGTAACAATTCTGTAAGTCGAACGTACTCATTAAAAATTTATTTGAAATAAATACGAACTAAATATGAGTTAGCACAAAGTCTATGTGACTGATTACAAAACTTTTATCTACGTTAAAAGGAAATCTTGGATTCTATCCACATTTGCAGCAATCTAAGGGGATCAGTGATACCGACTGTAGTAGCCTTTACAACAGGACTATTATAAAATAAGGTGACCGGCTGCCTTGCCTTCTTATTTTACTATAGTTCTTTGTAAAGACTACTATTGCTATATTTCTGATTACAAATGACTGTTGTAAAGTTAAAAAAGAAAATTTTCAACTAAAATAAAATTTTTTTGTAATTCATGACTTCTAATCATGTATTGCACATTAATTTCACTCTTCCAAGACTACCCCCTTCAAGATTAATTATATTATTAAACTAGACAATTTCACTAAACCCTAAGTACATAAATCTAACTTAAATACTAAACGCATAACATAATAACGATCGCTATTTACACATATTTATACATGACTTAAACTTCCTTATATACAAACTGCTATGAAAGTTCACCGCTTGCGAGAAAGACTTATACACTTTAAATGTAAAAAAATCACTTCGTTCTCAATAATTAATAAAATTATTGTTCATTGCTAGTCTTTAATATTGTAAGGTCTATTTTTTATTACATTTCCATAGTGAACATTTTTTTTCTAACACACGCAGCGAAGGTACAAGATTTCTTGCCTGTATAAATTGTTATATAATTTACACAACTTACGTAAGTTACATAACTTACGCAAGCTACGTAAATAACAAAAGTAAGTTACACAGCTAAATAAGTTAACTTACGTAAATTACGTAAGTTACGTAAATAATGTATGATACGTAAAAATATAAGTTACGTAAATAACGTAAGTTACACTTACGTAAATAACTTAAGTTACGTAATGGGCGAATTAGTGTAAATTGTACTAATAGTTTAGGTAACTTACGTACTTTACGCAAGTCATGAATTACAAAAAAATTTTATTTTAGTTGAAAATTTTCTTTTTTAACTTTACAACAGTCATTTGTAATCAGAAATATAGCAATAGTAGTCTTTACGAAGAACTATAGTAAAATAAGAAGGCAAGGCAGCCGCGGTTACCTTATTTTACAATAGTCCTGTTGTAAAGGCTACTACAGTCTGTATCACTGATTTCCTTAGACCGCTACAAATGTGAACAGTATCCAAGATT